TTTTTTTTTATTATGATGAGAATTTGGCTCAGGAAGCCTAGAAAATTTACAATTTTCTGGGCTTCCTGAGCCAAATTCTTATCACAGTAAAATTCTCATCATCTTCAAATATTTCCAGGCTGCAGCTTGGCATAAGTCAGGGTTATATTGCATTGCCGTGAGTCGCAGCTGAGATACTATACCTCGTAACGAGGCTGACCTCTACGCACTGATGATAAATGCTTGCGTTCCGTGCAGCACCACCATCGCTTTAGACTCGCTATCTGTTGTGGACGGACCGAAATTTTGGACGAAAATGGATTTGTGGTCCGATCCTCTAAAGTTCCACAAAATTTGCACAAACGAGTGCTTGATAAAAGTAAAGCATATCTGCATGAGCACGAGCACGGTGTGTCTTGTAAATCCGCGACAACAAAATGGCAAATAAATGAGATAACCTGCAGCAGTATCTCACAAAAATTTAGTTGGTCAGTTTCAGTTTTGTCGCTGACAACGAAAGAACGTCTTCAACGGTGTTGCATCGCCAATCATCTTAGTCCCATCCTTGTCATATTTATACACTGCTTTGTCACCAAACAGTAGCATGTTCGGTCCGGTATTTAATAATCCTGGAGTGGATGATTTAACTAGTAGTTACGAATCCACAAAACATGGTGCATTGGAGATCTAGAAAGCACACGGATTCACCGAGCGATAAAGATCAGGTATTCCTCATGAAAAAATTATAAAGCAGCAAACATAAAGGTTCCAAATCTATAAAACAGCAAAGCCCCGGAGCCTCCAAAAGTTCCTTAAGACCGTGGAGCATCAAGTCCCCAAAACGAGGAAGCAGTTTTACTATTCCAGTTAAATAAGGAGGTTAAAGGTATTTCTCGCAGTCAGGCAAGAAATTAAAACTTATTTACATGTGCATGTAGGAAAAGTTCCATTTGTAAATTTTTGAGAAATACTGCTCACCTCGAATGGGTTCCAACGGAAAGTTGCTGAAATAATTTGCCACTTTATTTTGCAACGTCACGTGATTCCAGTTCTCATCGTATGTTGCGAACTGATGACCCTTTAAAAAAGAATTTGCTCACTTCTGTTATTGATGACCAGAGCTATCAAAAACAAGCAATGATACGTATCAGAAAGTTGAAAAATAGCCAGGGGTTGACGCTGCAAAAAAAGAAAAAAAAAAAAAGAGGGGAATGAAAAGAAACCGGTGAGTGTCAGTTACAGTGTTTAACAATTGCCTAATTAGGCAGTAGAGCAGTGGTTTAG